AAAAGGTTAAAAATATACCCCATACTTTAATCTGAAAATATAGATCAAGCAGTTAAAAAGGGAAAAACTGAATAACAATGAACAAGTTTGATTTAATATGTAGAAATATGATACATTATTACCAAACAGAAAGAAAATACACATTTGCTTTAATTGCCATGATTTAAAAATGTTAAGGAGGCACTACTCCATGGACTTGTTAAAACAGAGATTTATATTCTAAATGAAATATCAACATAGTCAAAGCATCACTACCAAGTCAGTTTTATTCCAAGAATGCAAGAATAGATCAACATTAGTAAGTCTTAGTGTAACTAATACATTAATGGATTAAAGACAATAATCATATTATCACCTTCACAGATACCAGAAAAGGCCTTTGATAACATTCTATATACATTCCTGACAAAACTATAAGTCAAGCTGGAATAATGAAAAGAAGGGCATTTCCATAACTTGAAAAAGGGTATCTATCAGAAACAATGGCAATCATCATATTTTAGAGTGAAACAATGAGTTATTTCTATTAAGGCCCAAAACAAGAGAAGGATATCTATTCTTTATTAAGTCATATAAATCTGCATTGTCCTGGAAGTCATAAGATCTTTACCAATGTGCTAAAAAGGAAAAATGTTAGATATAAACATCAGCAAGGAAAAGACAAACATTTCATTATTTACAGCTGACATGATTGTGTATCTTGGGATTCAAGATCACTAACTGGAATAAACTCCCACAGAACTAAGAACAGAGTTTAATATCATGCCTGGATACAAGACAAATGCGAAGCTCTATATTGTAAAGATGTCCATTCTTGACACATTGCTCAAAAATTCCAAGGCACTTTGAGGAATTTTTTTGTTTGTTTCATAGAAGTTGATGAGTTGATTGTAAAATACATCTGGAAAAAGAATATGTACAAAAATAGTCAAGTAAATGCTAAAAATAAAAGAATAATGAATGGGGAGCAGATTTCAAAACATAATGCTACAATAATTAAAGCAGTGAGATACTAGCTCAGTAATAGGCAAAAATTGAACAGAAAAGAAACATTAAACAACATACCCACAGAGAGAATTCCAAATCAGTGCAGATATAATTCAATACAATAAATAGATTAGGAAAACTAGCTCTTTTCTAAAAAAGTAAACATAGGTCCCTACTTTTCACCATACACACCACATATGGATTAAGACACTAAGCAGTAATATATCAAATATTAGAAAACAATATTAGAAAAAATAGATTATTTTTTGGTCTTGCCATGAGGCATGTGAGATCTTAGTTCCCCAACCAGGGATCGAACCTGTGCACCCTGCATTGGGGGCACTGAGTCTTACCCACTGAACTGCCAGGGAAGTCCCAGAAGAGTATTTTTATAATCTTGGGTTACAGAAGCCTACCTAAATATAAGACAAAACCAAGAAGCTATAAAAGAAAGATTAAAATGTTTCCCTTTTACATATTAAAATTTATGCCAAATACCATCATAAATAAACTTTTAAAAAGACATTGGCAATATATAGCAGACAAAAGGATATCAGCTGTAATATCCAGAGACCTCCTACAAATCAAGAAGGAAAAAAAAAAAAAAGCACAAATGATTCAACAGAAAAATTGGCAAAGGATATGAACAAGCAATCTCTAACAGAAGAAATATAAATAGTTAATAAATATATTAAAAGATGCTTAACTTAATTGGTGATTAGGGGAAAAGAAAGGAATGAGAATCAGTTTTTCATCCAAAATCCAACTAATAAAAATAAATGAAAAAAATAAAATCGATTTGTGGGGCATTAGCAGAAGATTTATGAGAATATTGTAATAATGCCATTTAATGGAAGGTAAGAATGTCTTTAGCTATGTGAATAAATAGAATTTGATTAGATTAAAAAAAAAAAGAATAATAGTGTCTGGCATGCCGGGAGGGCAGTTTAGCTCAAACCCTGTGATCTAGCAGTTATATTTCTAAGGTATTAGTCTACGAAAATATTTCTAAATGTGCAAAAGATAGATTTTAGAAATGTTTTTATAATATTACTTGTAACAGTTTAAAAAAAAACTGTTGACAACCTGAAGACCTATCATGTGGAAAAAATTGAATAAATTATGTAGTTCACCTATTATAGAACTCTACTGGCTGTTACAATGACTTTCTATTGATCCCAGGGCTGGGAGGTGCAGGTTGATCAAGTTGTAGAATAACAAGCATAGGATAATTTTGCTTTATAAAACACACAAGAACACATAAACAGAAAAAGAACTTGGAGATACAAAGCAAACAAATTATCATGGCTATCTCTGGGCTGTGGGACTAGGAGAGGGATATTTTCACCTGTTACTTTATATACCACTGTAATTTTACTTTTATGATAAGCATGTATTATTTTTCTAAGAGGAAAAATAACATAAGCTCACTTTATAACATTTGGATTTTTTAAAAAACTATAAGGAAACAGAGAAAAAATGATATGAATTCTCACCACACAGAAGCATTAAATTGTGGCCACTTTTCTTTTCAGTCCTTATTATACATTTTTAACATATTTGAGATTGTAATTTTAGGCTTGTCTTTCAATTAAGATAATACTGTATTTTCCCTATAAAAATTCAGAGAATAAAGAGACACAAGAGAACAAAAAGCACATGTATTCCCACCACACAGAGATAAATGCCTAAGAAAACATTGTAAAATTCAAGTGCACAGAAATGGATTATGAGTCATTCATTCACACTGTCATAGAACATGCAGATTTGTTCTTTAATTTCATAATAATCACACAATAATTAGTCAATATGTTTTAATTATAGAATGAATACCACCCACTCACCCATCAAACCTGAGCAGCACAAGAATACTGACAATGACTTCCCCCTACTTCTAAATGCCTTTCCTCAGTCCCAATTGCCATTATCCTGAATTTTTTATTGCCTTTCCTTTACTTTCTCATAAAATACTTTTAATCCTTAGTATATATGTACACCTAAATAAAATATCCTTCAGTTTTACTTGTTTTGAATAATTAATATAAAAAGAATATCCTATTATATGTAGTCTTCTGGGACTTGATGTGCTGTGCTGTGCTTAGTCACTCAGTCATGTCCAACTCTTTGTGCCCCCATGGACTGTAGCCCGCCAGGCTCCTCTGTCCTTGGGGATTCTCCAGGCAAGAATACTGGAGTGGGTTGCCATGCTCTCCTCCAGGGGATCTTCCCAACCCAGGGGTCGAACCCAGGTCTCCTGCATTGCAGGCAGATGCCAGCTGAGCTACTAGGGAAGCCCCTGGTCTACCCATATTTATATATATAATATGTTTCTCTGTTGTCCACTCATTTCTCTGCTATATAATATTCCATTGTGTAAATACAGCACAATATATTCAGTTTCCTTTGGGGACTTTCTCTACTCATACTTCAGTGTATATTCTATTGGTCTATACATACTTTCATAGACCTATTTCTTTCACTACTGAAGAGTTATGTCATTCACCTCTGTATGCCAGTTTCCTGATCTGTAAAACAGGGATGATAGTATCTACCTCAATGGGTTCTTATGAAGATTAAATGAGTTGATGCATATAACGACCTTAGAACAGTGCCTGGACATAGTAAATGCTATGTTAATGTTGTTGCTGTTATTATTATTTATGCCACATAAGATTAAACCACAAAAATTGGTGTTATAACAAATGGATGAATACACTGTTAGCTTTATCTAAAATAATAAAGTCTCTAAAGAGGAGTTTTTCTCATTAAAATAAGAATTTCACTTGTACCAAATGGAATTGACTTTATAAAAAATAGGAGCATTAGTAAATTTGCAAAACTTATCACAGCAATCTTATGTGTGTTTATTCTCCAGAAACTGTTTAATAAACACTATCTCTAAAAGTTGTAAAGAATGAATACACATTTCCTAGGAGCAAAAAACACTACTAGGCTGAAGGAATGCCTTATTCAATTTTTTAAAGCTAATTCTACTAGAAGCAGCAATATTTGAGTTGGAAGACTTGCCTATGGAAAAATCTAAACATGGAAAAGCTTGGACTTGGGAACACTTATTTTGAAAAGATCTCGATCTGGGGAAAGTTTGGAAGACCTGAACTATGGAGCATGTTAAAATACCTGGATATCGTAGACACTGGAAGACCTGAATGTTAGAAGACCGGTACACCGGAGACGTTGGAAGACGTAGATATTGAGCCTGCTTTTGGAAGACTGAGTAGTTGTTTGGAAGACACGGAGATGCTGGAAGACGTGGAGATGCTGGAAGACGTAGAGATGCTGGAAGACGTAGAGATGCTGGAAGACGTAAAAATGTTGGAAGACGTGGAGATGTTGGAAGACGTGGAGATGCTGGAAGACACAGAGATGCTGGAAGACGAGCAGATGCTGGAAGCCCTGGAGATGCTGGAAGACCTGGAGGTGTAGGAAGACGAGGATTTTCTGGAAGACACACCTTCGTTGGAAGACAAAGATTTCCTGGAAGACGTGGCTTTGTTGGAAGACAAGGATTTCCTGGAAGGCGCACCTTCATTGGAAGACAGGGATTTTCTGGAAGACGTGGATTTCCTGGAAGGCGCACCTTCATTGGAAGACAGGGATTTTCTGGAAGACATGGATTTCCTGGAAGGCGCACCTTCATTGGAAGACGAGGATTTTCTGGAAGACGTGGATTTCCTGGAAGGCGCACCTTCATTGGAAGACTAGGATTTTCTGGAAGACGTGTATTTCCTGGAAGGCGCACCTTCATCGGAAGACGAAGATTTTCTGGAAGACGTGGATTTCCTGGAAGGTGCACCTTCATTGGAAGACGAGGATTTTCTGGAAGAGATGGATAGGCTGGAAGACATGAATTTGATGGAAGACACAGTTTTGTTGGAAGACATTGATTTTCTGGAAGCCATGGATTTGATGGAAGACATGGATTTCCTGGAAGACATGGCTTTTCTGGAAGACATGGATTTTCAGGAAGACCCGAATTGTCCGGAAGACCTGGATTATTTGGAAGACGTAGATTTGCTGGAAGACCCGAACGTTATAGGAAGACATGAATTTTCTGGAAGACGTGGCTTTGCTGGAAGACCTGGATTTAGTGGAAGACATAGATTTTGTCTGGAAGACGTGGATTGACTGGAAGACTGGATTTGATGGAAGACATGGATTGGTTGGAAGACTTGTATTTTTCTGGAAGATCTGGATTTGATGGAAGACGTAGATATTTCTGGAAGACGTGGACTGAGAGGAAGACCTGGATTTCTTTCTGGAAGACATGGATTGACTGGAAGACTTGCATTTTTCTGGAAGACATAAATTAGCTGGAAGACTTGGATTTGGTGGAAGACAAAGATTTTCTGGAAGACATGGGTTGGCTGGAAGACCTTGAAATTGTTGGAAGACATGGATTTTCCTGGAAGATGTGGATTTTTTGGAAGACCTATATTTGCTGGAAGACTAGATTTACTGGAAGACATGGATTGACTGGAAGTCATGGATTTTCTGGAAGACTGGTTTGGTTGGAAGACCTTGATGTTGCTGGAAGACTTGGAATTAGTTGGAAGACTTGGAGTTGCTGGAAGATCTAGAGTCGCTGGAAGACCTTGACACTGGCGCCACTGGAAACCCTGGACATTGGAGACATTGGAAGCACAGGATGTTGGAGACGTTGGAAGTCTTAGATTTTGAGGACATTTGTTATTCTGGGCATTGGAGACTTTGGAGGCCCTGAGTGTTGGAGTTAATGGATACTGGAAGCCCTGAAAACTGGAGACCCTGCAAGTCCTATACCTTGGAAGCCCTAAACATTGGAAGATATGGACAATAGAAGACCTAGACATTTAGAAATCTTAAAATCAGAAGACCTGGATATTAGGAGACTCTGGGAAACCTGGATATTGACATATTTATGTTAAAGGACATAGAATTTGGAAGATATAATTTTCAAGATTCTTTAAGTCAAGGATGTTGGCAGCCCTGGACATTAGGACACTTAGACATTAAAAGATCAAGATATTAAGAGACTGAGCTATTCAAACCCTGAGGATGTTGGGAACACCTGAATGTTAGAAGACCAGGTTCTTGGCGATATTGAAAGACTTGGGCATTAGAGGAATTTGTGATGACAAAACATTGTAAAATCAGGATTTAGGAGATACTATAAATTGCAGGGACTGAACTATCTATGTGCTGGAAGATATTAGAAGAGCTAGACTTTTGTACACAATGAAATACATGGACTCTAGAACACCTGTCTAGGAGGCATTGGTGGATTGGGAACATAGGGAAAAAATGGCATTTAGAACTCTGGACCCTGAAAGGCAAAACATAGAATTAGAAGATTAATTTTTAGACATATTAGAAGACCCTGATATTGAGGAGATTAGAAAACATTGGCAGTGAAGATACTGCAGGGCAGAGAGTAGAAAACATGGAAACTGTAACATGTAGAAGATCTAGAAGATCTGGCAACTGGAGATATTAAAAGACACATAGCTCAGAAGACCTGATACTAGAGACGCTGAAAAACTAAAAGGACTAATCTTAGTCCTTTTTAATTAGAGCTACTGGAAGGTCATATTGAAAAATATTGGCAAAGTTGAAAGACTTTCATACTAGGACCTGATGTAACATCAAAAGACATAAGACTAATAGTCTTTATGAATATAGCATCTCTTCCACTAAAAAGTAAAACACAGAGAAAGGACTTTTTAGGAAGATGACAAAGCGGAAACAGGCAAATTCAATTAAAAGTAAGTAGTTTCAATGGATTGGAACATACTTCATAGCTTCAGTGAACTGGGATTTTGGGGGTTTATCAACTGACAGCACAAGAATGAGGAATTATCAAAGAACAAGCAAAGACATGGCCAGGGGAACCACCTGGCTTTAGATCAGGGGTCAGCAAAAGTTTTCTGTAAAGGATCAGAGAGTAAATATTTAAGGTTTTGCAGGCCATGTGGTTTCTGTTGCAACTACTCAATTCTACCATTGTAGTGCCGCCTTAGAAAACACATAAATGAGCTGGGCCAGATTTGACTCAAGGGCCTTAGTTTGCCAGGCCCAGCCCTAGATACCACATCTAGGGTGTGGTAAACTTAAGTACATTCCAGCCTAGCACTCATGGAAAAGAGTAGATAGAGCAGTTTGGAGCCCAGTGGTAAATAAAGATCTTATGCATGAGATGCTATTCAGGAGACAAAGCTGGCGAGAACCTAAGAATGAAGTTTAGATCTCCGATTAATTGTTTCAGGGCCCTCAACAAGGAGATTTGTATTCAGAGCCAAAATTAAGTGGGTGGTATTCAAGGCCCCAGCTCAGGGGGATAGGGTTCAGTGAGGATGCCCTAATTTAGTAGGTTGGAAGCTTAAGAAGAAACTCACACACAAATATTTTTTTTTTAAAGAAGAAACTCACCACTACAGACTAGGGTCATCCTGCCAAGACTAAGCATCACCCACCAAAAGAGAGAGAGTCCCCAGCCCAGGGCAGCCAAGGACCTAGTGACAAAGCCCTCACTCTAAGTCCTGTGTTCCTGTCATTCTACCACTGCCAAATAATCTCTAGGTGTTTGCAGTGATGGAGGAGAACAGGAAGGAGATTATAGCTTGGCAGGCTAATCTCAGGCACTCTAGCTTCAAATAATAAGTTTCTGATTTCTGGTCTTACTCACCAGAGACTGATAAGCTTAAGAGATCAGAATTGAGCTATAGGCTAAAGACAGGGCTGAGGGAGGGACTATCATTTATATTGCAAAAAAGAAACACTGGCAGACAAAACTGGTTAAGGTACACTGAGATTGGGCCCAGACTTCAAGGTTAAGTGGGTGAATATATAGACAATGGGCAGCTACTGATGATTTTTGAACAAGAAAGTACCAGAATCAGAGTTTGCACAAGGAAAGTTAGTCAAGTGGCAAGATGTTGAATGCCAATGACTATTATTATATATATAAATATAACTAGAACACCAAAGACTCCAAGTTAAAACACTTAAAGGGTTGGATGGGATGTGAGTTATGAGGCCATTATAGTTGAATTAAATTGAATTACATTTCTGTTGCTCAGCAGACATAGCATCTGTGTTACGATGAATACTTAGCATTCTAAATACAACTATTTCAAACTGCTTGAATGCTATCACAGAATACATGAAATACAATACAAAGAAATTCAGAAGCTAGTTATGAGGAACTGTCTTGTTCTCATCTAGTAAGATCACTTAGACATCAATTTCTCTCAAAGGCAGCTGAACTAATACTTTGTGGTTTAAGCACACAAAGGTCTATATAGCTTAAGGTCCCATATAGCTTTATCTTTGGCTCCTCCTAACAGAGTCACTTAGTTATCTTAAAAGTGGAACCAAGTGGATGGATTATTTTCTAAAGAATAGGAATACATCCATGTGAGAAAAGTCATTTCCCTTAATTGCTATATAAATAAATAACCACATTTTAAATATATCATATGAAATCACTAAGGTCAAGGTATAACAGGGACTAAGGAATTATTGTCAGGTACCCTTCACAAGCAAACAAACAGAAATATTTAACATCGATTTTTACTCCTCTCTTTGTGAGACCATCATGTATAACTTATTTTGAAGAAATCAGATAAAATTTGGCAAAGATAGTGAATGATCATATTCTAGTTCTTTAATGGTTATTCACATTAAAATAATAGTGATAGCAACAACTATTGAGCATTTACTTTATGCCAGGCACTGTGTTAAACATTTCATACAACCTCATAGCAATCCTATAAAGTAAGTATTTTCAACCCCATTTTACAGATCAGAAACTGAAGTCTGAAACGGTTTAAAAACATGGCCACAGTTACATAGCTGTTAATTTGCAGGGACAGGATTGCAAGCAGGCAGATACCTGTACCTGATTCCCAAGCCTAAGACCCACATTAATTTCTCACGCCTCAACAGGCCAAGGGTTATTCTGCCAGGACTAAGTACCACTCACCCAAAGAGAGGGAGTCCCCAGTTCAGGGTAGACAAGAAGTCATTGGCAAAGCCCTCACTCTAAGTCCCATGTTCATGCCCTTAGGCCACTCATCATACCACTGCCAGTTAATCAAGAACCAACTCTAGGTCTTTGCAATGATAGGTTGATTGTATGTTTGGCTTTATGTAGTAATGCAAGAAAAATGAAGTGCAACATCTCAAGCACACTAGATTCATATTTAACTACTCTCCATGTTTGTTAATGAAATGTACTATTTATCCTTTCACCTATTTTCTACTTGATTTTATAGTTCCCCAGAGCATAGCACATATTTATTTCTGAACTCTCAGGAAAACAACCATAACACACTGACATCAAAGGCCATTAAAAGGTAATAAAACTATGTAAAGTTCAGTGAGTAATGTATTTCATAGCACAAACATGACCCATACACTCTTTGAGACTGTACACGCTGTAGAAGCCCTTTATTAGCATTCAGGTGCTGGCAGCTATATAATCCAAATGTGTAGTTTAAAGAGCCTTCTTTGCATTTTGATCTTAAAAGATTTTAAGCAAACAAAATGCTCTTTTTAAATGTAATGCCAGTTTTCTAATATTTTCTACAAATTTCAGCAACCTGAGCTATCTTTTCTCTCTACCCACTTTGCCTTTCTTTTCTTTCTTTTTGCCAGTTGTTAAATATGTCTGTAAAGAAGGACATTTCCATGTACTTCATAAAATCGAAGACCAGAATTTACCTGAGCCATTTGACAACAGAAAGATCCTTTCCATTCAAACTGTATATAAAATATACCAAAAGAAATTTCAGTTCTTCAATTTTAGGATCTAGTCTTAACTTAAAAAAGGAAAAAGGAACACCCATGTACATGGCGCTATTACTGTTAACTTCTATTTCTACCACTTAGCCTAAACCAATTTTCACATCTGTGTTCTGCAGACTTGTGTGTGCTCAGTCACTCAGTCATGTCTGACTCTTTGTGACCCCATAGACTGTAGCCCACTAGGGTCCTCTGTCCATTGGATTCCCCAGGCAAGAATACTGGAGTGGGTTGCCATTCCCTTCTCCAGGCGATCTTCCAGACCCAGGAATGGGACCCCCATCTCTTGGTCTCCTGCACTGGCAGGCAGATTCTTTTACCACTGAGCCACCTTGGAAGCCCTGCTGACTTGCTAGACTGAACCATATTAAAATGGTCCTTTACCCTCATCAATGATATTTCTTAAATTATTTGAAATGGATATTGCCATAAACAAGAATTAGATCTACCCCAGTATTTTCAAATAGTCTAGGCCCTAGACAAATGTTTCCATATATCAAGCCAAAGTCTAGGCATTCCTACCACCACCAGAATCATATAATAGTCAGTTTCCCATTGTATTATTTTATATTAACAGTTCCTGATGGATGCTATTCAACTTAAAGTTTTATTTCTCTAATTCTGGTCAAATTAAGACAAAAACTTGCCAATGCAATAATCTCAATAAATGATAAACTTACCAAGAAACTACATTTTTTAAAACCATATGGAACTGCTGATTATACTGGTAAAACAATCATTCACTTAAAAATATTTGCCTCTAGGTATGATTAAGAGTACCCCAGTTATCCATGGAACCTTGAAACAGTTAACATTTCTCTGCTTTGGTTTATGGAAATGAAACAAAATATCTAGTTTGATTGACAATGTCTATGCATTATATATATAATGCAAACCCTATAACTCAGAGTTGATGTTAAGTTGGTTTCCCTTTCTTCTATGGCATCTGTGACTAACTGTTTTCTGAGAGGGAGTAAAACACAAGAAAGCCTGAGTTGCAAGAACCATTTTTAAAACAACAAGAGTACAAGACAGTAGTATTACTACT